AGGTCAAGAGAAGAGCTCGTGGCCCTGAGGACGCAAGTTAGCTCGCTGACGGATCAGATGAGCCAGCTAATGTCGCTAGGGGAAGATACCATGAAGGCAAGCAAGAAGAAGGAGCCAGCTGGCACCATGGAGGGTGCCGCTGATGGCGGCGATGTTAGGGAGAGCGCCGCCGCAGAGTCCACGAACGCCGAAGGAGGGGCACCGTGGACCAGGAGTGCGCAGGACGGAGGTCCCTGCGCGAACCTGTTCGAGAGTCTGGCCCGTCAGGGCGACACAGCGGCGAAGCAGGGGGCTTTGTCCCCCAAGAGGTGGGAGTAGCCGCTGCTCACAACCAAGATTGTAGTAGTGCCATGGGAGATGGTGGTGCTGCTGTTGGCTTTGGATACGGAGCCACAACCCCAGCGACGGGGNCCCCAGGGAGCTCTTCGTGAGCTCGAGACCATACACGACCCTGAATCATCTGTACAGCCGTCAGAGGACCTCAAGTCCCTGACGTCGACCAAGATCTCTGGAGGTGACAACCCCCAAAACGCCCTAAATGAGATACTCCAAACCGCAAAGTCCTTTAACGAGAAAGGACTAACTGTCAACGAAACGTTCGTCCTTCACCTCTTCCTGGATGCCCTTTCGGACGAGTATGCCATGACAAAGCACAACCTGCGACACGCGAAGGAGTTGACGCTATTGCACAGACAACTGTCTGGAACTGCACAAAGGCTTCATAGCCTGCAGACTGCACGAAGGCTTAACCGCCTGCAGACACGACCCTGGGTACAGGGCACCTCGACACGACACATTTCTACATCACACACAATGTACACTCAGCACATTACACCGTGTAGTGCAGTAGTACAGCAGCAGCGGCATCGGCGGGATTTACTTCCTTCTTCAGAGGAAAGCGGTCCTTTCTGCAAGTTCACTTCGATCGGTTATTCATAGACTATGCATGGATGTGCTCAAGTCATGCATGGTGGACCTACTCTTGTCTCTCCACGTGGGAGGTCTAGGTCGGAGTCGGGCTGTGGACCAGTGTGCGCGAGTGTGCGAGATGCCCCGCACTTGCGCACACGGTCGTCCTTGGGTGCGAGCCCCTCACCCTCCTCCTTTGGGAAATTTTCCTCTTGAAGCACGAAACCAGCCTGCTGTTTTGCGTGTTTCAACAGCACGCACGCGCGGGCAGATTGTTGGTTCGGGGAAATGTTTTGTCGGGGCAACCATCCCAACTCCGGAGTGTGCAGACCACGTGGTAATCTTTTTACTGTGATGTTTTTAATGAATGTGTTGCGAGACTGATGCATATAGAGTTCTGGGTTCTTCTCGACCACGCGTGCGTGTCGTCGTGCGAACCTACAGCAGTAGCTCACCGGGTACCAATGGGGAGAAAGTTTCTGGTGGTGGTGTGTTTTTGTGTGGACCAGGTCCATGAAATTATTTTAGGTGCGAGGTGCGGTAGTATCTCCCAAGATTTTCGCAGCGGAGAGAGCGCTAGGGTTAATCAGTGATACCGCGCTTGCGTCACGCATCCAAGCGACGCAACTGTTCCCCGACGCACCGAACCACCCCGGGTTGTGGGTCGAGGCCATTTCGTGTGCATGCCATCAGCTGAACTGCACCGCCACTACATCAAACGAGGGAGACAAATCTGCCACGAGATGTTCCACGACTCCCCACCGCCTGTCGGGTCTACATACCCGTTTCTCAAACCAGCCGTGTTCAAGTCGAGAAGAAAAGCAATATCGCAACCCAAGGGCGAAAAAGGATGGTACCTTGGTCCTGCCCACAATCACCCCCGTGACTGCGTTCGCATGCTAACCGAAGCTGGAACCGTAATCACCACCCGCAATTTCACCTGGCGCCACGTGCCCGCTGCATCGCCCGCTCCCCCGCAGCTGCTACCTCTCGCAGATGACGAGGAGGGCGGGGAGGGCGACAGCAGAGCGGATGCATCACGCCAAGGTTGGGGGGGAGAGAGAGATTCAGAGAGTGAGTCCGACCTCGACGTGATGGAGGCTCGTGGGCCAGGGCAAGCGACGCCGTTTGTGCGCGAGGAGACGCCGGCGGCACCCGGCAACGGGATTCCGGGGACGTAGGCAGCGTTCCCCCGTCGCCCCCTTCGGGAAGGGGGGACTTCGGCGGAGGCAGTGACAGCCCCACCGACAGCAGCAGCAGTGACGCCGGCGGTGCCGGCGGCCCGGGCGGCGAAGATTGCGGCGACCCAGGTGGGGACGGCGGTAGCGATGGTGATCCCGACTCCGAGAACCTCGAGGAGTTGAAGTATGATCCAGCCGACGACCGCTACCCCCGCGGGCTAGAAGGGAAGAAACTCCTCTGGGGCGCCTCCAACGCTGGGCCGCAGCGCCATGGGCTTGAGAGTGGCCGCACGCGGAAGCAGACCCGGGAGATGCAAGGTGCAGGGGAGATGCCGGGGCCCGGAGAAACACCGGACCCGGAAGAGGCACTGCTGGCGACCATCCTGGAAACTGGCGTGACGGGGATTGTTGAGGACTACATCTGCAACTCGCTTGTGAAGGAGCAGTGGGACGAGGAGCAGACACGCCATATGGAGGAGATGTACAGGCGTGAGGTGCAGGAGGTGTTGGGCCCGGAAAAGCAGGCGTTCGGGGCCGAGGTCGACTCCAGCGGGTTTTCGCAACCACTCCCAGACCCACAGCTAAGTATGACCTCGCCAATCGGGCAGAAGCCGAGTGATGTGGAAGCAGTACCGATGACGTACAAGGATGTGATGTGTTTGAAAATGGCATCACCAAGCTGTCCCAGACAGCATACATTGAGAGTATGCCGAAGCGGTTTGATGTGAACACGACCGCTTTCACCCCTGCTGCCACCGATGCCGACCTAGGGCCGAAGAGAGATGACGAGCCCGCGGTGGATAAGCCTGTGAGGGAGGCGATCGGATGCCTGATGTGGACGAAGCTGACGAGGCCAGACATCGCCCTGCCTCTGAACAAGCTCCAGAAGATCGCCCGCTCACCCACGGGGAGGATATGGAACGCGCTTGTGCGAATCATATCCTACCTGAACTTCACGAAGGACTTCGGCATCACCAACTTACGGGGGTCAGGACTATACCTAAGCATGTTTGTCGATGCCAGCTACGCTGACAACGAATTAGACAGGCGTTCTACGACCGGGCTAGCTGTGACCGTTGGTGGTACACACATCCACCAAGACGCAGCCAGTGACGGCTCAGTCGACCTCGGAAGCAGAGTCTATGGCAGCCGGGGAGGGCGTGAAGGAGGCGTTGTTTGTGCGTGGTATTCTGTCGTTCATAGTGCCCGAGACAAGTGGGGCGAAGATCAAGGTCCTTGAGGACAACGAGGGGGCTCTCGCCTTAATCGAGATTCCGTTCAGCTCAGCGAGGAGCAAGCACATCGACGTGCGGTTCCATTTCCTTCGCGAGCTATTCAACTCGGGCAAGATCACTGCAGAGTATGTTCCGACTGGAGCACGCCGACATGCTGACCAAGGTCCTTGGCAGAGGGAAGTTAGAGTACCACCGGAAGGCTCTGATGAACCTACCGATGCAGTTCTCTTGTTCGGTTTGGTTTATGTGGTGGTTTTAGCACGTGGCATATATGACCATGGTACGTCACATNGCAGAGGGAAGTTAGAGTACCACCGGAAGGCTCTGATGAACCTACCGATGCAGTTCTCTTGTTCGGTTTGGTTTATGTGGTGGTTTTAGCACGTGGCATATATGACCATGGTACGTCACATAGGAAGCGTTGTGCCGGCGCGTCACCCGCGGCTGGAGCCTAGAAACGCCGAGAGCGTTGCTTCGGGTGTGTAATCAGCGTGACCGGTTCAATCTGTCCTGCCTTGGTCTTGACTTGGAACTGCGGCCGTTGGAATCCTCCGTGATAGCGACGGTTTTCTATATTTAGGGTGTTAGACGAGGGATAATGATCCAGTTGGCCGGGTTTTCCCTCGAGCTTGTTGTTGTTTTGAGTCCCTTTGGTAGATCAGGGGTATCCATGGCCCACGTTAGGTTTGCCATTCGCGTGCAAACCGGGGAGGGTGTTCGTGTGTTTGGATACGGACTGGTTAGATCTACCGGCAACAACAGAGGGCACGCAGATGGGGCATATGTACACCTTGAAATGGTTGCATGTGTGGGGACCCCTCGAACTCCAAAGAGGGCTTCACTTCTCCCTACTCCCCTTGCGTGTCTAATACAAGACACAGAACGTCTTCCCCTTCCAAGTAAAGGACATATACGAACACATGCTAGCTGAATAGCCCTTTCGTGCATGGGCATGAACCGCTGGCTGTTCTGCATGCATCCTCCCTGTGTTTACTTGCAACAACTCATGACCAATATTTTCTTTTGCGCGGGGCGGCCGCTCCTTGCGTCTCTCCAGCTTGGCACAGGGTGTCACCAAGCACACACATCGACCAGACTACGAAAGCAGCATCAACCGCAGCAGCAACTCCAGAATGGCGGATGACGGCTTCACCATCAACGGCACCGTGCTCGATACACCGTAACAGGACAACAGTGGCGACCCTGCTGGGGTGAGAAGGTTGCGCGGGGTTTATGTTTGGAGCGCACGCCGTGGGTTACGGAAACCGGTTGTCTGCCTTTAGTCGTGGGCTCTCCCTTCAGGCCACTTTACTGCCATGTGAAAGGCTTTCAAGATGGACCCATGAGGGATGCCCAAGGAGGCAGGGGTGCGCAAGTTCAAGCGGGACAAGGAAATATTGTGAACAAATGAATGTGGGGTGTTATCCTTTCACGTCTTTCCCACGCAGGTCCTGTCGCACATGAATACACGTCGATGTCGGACGCCATCATTGTCTATGCGTGTGCTTGCCGGCCATCTCGAGATCCTTGTCCTATCGGGTGGTGAAATCCGTGTAGACTACAAGCAAGTACGCCGTGCAAGGAAGGAAGGGCACAGCAGGCACGGCACGAAAGGGGCGACATGCAAGAGACAAAATTATTTCAACACTGGCAGCACCCCTAGACCACACCTACCTAGTCGAAGGTAAGTTGGGATCTGACAGTGGTGCGTGTAACGACAGGCGTGTGTGCAGTTGTTGGCTGTTGTTGTATTTCTTGTCTTTTTTCCATTTATCGTCGTCGCTGGCAGTTTCCGCCGACTTGGCATTCCCCCTGCTCTGCTGACGAGGCACGATCCGAAGTAACTCACAAGAGACCTCCTCGGCGCACATATACCTTCCTGACTTCTTCTCCAGAGGGCTAAAAACCATCTCTCTCGAGCAATAATCTGAAGGCGAACGCTCTGTATTCCCGGAGAGTGATCTCGAGCAAGGCACCACTTAAACCAACAGGCTTGAACAGGTCATGAACTTGATCACCCAATGTACCATCCAACGCCAACCCGACCGACCGACCGATCGACCGACCAAACCCACACCCCAACCCAACCCGACCCCAAAACACAAAACCGAACCAATCAATCGACCAAACCCACCTTATCCCACCCTTCCCAACCCAATCCAACCCAAAACCCAACCCAACCCGACCAACCGACCGACCAAATCCACACCCTACGCTACCCTACCCAACCCAAACCAACCAAAACCAACCCGGCCCGACCCCAAAGCACATCCCGACCAACCGATCGACCGACCGACCGGCCCAACCCTACCCTACCCTACCCTACGCTACCCTACCCAACCCAAAACGGAATCCAACATCCCCAACCCGACCGAGCGACCGAGCGACCGATCGACCGACCAACCCAACCCCCCCTATCCCCACCCCAACCGAACCCAACCGAACCCGACCCAACCCTTTCACACAACCCGACTAACCGACCGACCAAACCCACCCTACCTCACCCCCTACCCAACCCCAAACCCCACACCACACAACACAACACAACACAAACACAACTCAACCCCAACCAACCACAATCCGACCCCAAAACACACCCCGACCAACCGACCGACCATCTCGGGAAGCGATAATCGAGACCAGGGAGTCTCGTTTTTTAGACGATACCCCGGGGACAAAACAAAGACATCTTCGGGGTCACGAGGCCCCCCGGGGACAGGACACAGCCATTCCCGGGGTTTCCACGCCAGAATTCTAGTCAGGCAGCTAGGTAGCAGCTGGGCGGGGCGCGGCGCCCACATATACGTCGCTGTGATTTGGAGCGTTATGGACCTCAACTAGGTAGGCAGCCATAAATAGCAGCATGATCACCCCTGGGTTGTGTGCAGCGATACAACACCTTAACATGTAGTCAACCCTGGGTCCCGCTTGCGCGATGGAGAGCAGAGACAACGCACTCCGGAGCCGAAGCTAGCCTCACTACCTCGGTGCCTGATGATGATGTGGTCATGACTGCGGTGTGTGTGGTCCCCAATATTGGGAGTGGAGGAAGATTGTCGTGTGCTGTGTGCAATTTCGCTCAAGAGGGGTTTTCGGGACTACACGCAGGATAGCATGCACGATAACCCCTCTCTTATATTTCGTACGGAATTGTGTCATTGCCATGATTATTATCCATTTTTGCGATAGTGATGTCGCGGGGTCGATTTATTTGCTGAGTGAGCCGGAAAAAAAAAGTCAAACCAACCCAGTCACGTAGTAGATCTTGAGCCTTAAGCTACTTTTTGACACGAACGAACCAACCCATCATCATCTACAGTTCACATCGAAAGCAATGTACGTTGATCATATCTCCTTTCTTCCCGAATAATTACTTTTCAACACGATGAACAGCCCATCCATCTTCAACTTTTTCCCTTTTTCGTAGCCAGAAGCGGCCTAGCCGGGGTTGTTGTGCTGTTGTTACTGCTGTGTGACACCTCTCCATGTATCCTTTTTTTAATGGGATGAGCAAGGGTACACGGAAAAAACAGTTCGGGACACATTTCCCCCCCCCTCTCTTCCTCCGCCTCCCCCCCTCGGTGTTTGCCATCGGGGTTGGGTTTCGTCGCTTGGCAACGACGTTGTAAAACAAGCTGCCCCCCCCGGTGTTTGCCATCGGGATTGGGTTTTCGTCGCTTGGCAACGACGTTGTAAAACAAGCTGCCCCCCCCGGTGTTTGCCATCGGGATTGGGTTTTCGTCGCTTGGCAACGACGTTGTAAAACAAGCCAATTCACTTCGTGAACTCGGCAACCAGGTTGCCGGGTTTTTTTTTTACCTCCGGTTTTTTTTTTT